TCTCTTGTACTGCCTGCCTAGAAATGTGAGCGTGTTCTTCTGGCCCTCTTCTGCCACCAGCCCTGTCCTCCCTTGCACCAGCTGGCTACTGATTCTACATTCTCCATGGTGAGTTCCATCCAGAACAGAAGAGTGTGGGTTATGCCAAGAGGTGGTGGGTGTTCCTTATGCCCATGTTTTCTCCCTGCAGGAGCAGCCTGGTGGTACCCTAGACGGAGCCATGCACCAGCAAGACCACTTAAGTGGCAATTTATACAAATTCATGGAGACTAAGTTTAGACTTAGAGAATAAGACATCCTTAGAAGGGTAGTTTGATGAATGCACACACACTTTTGAGTATTGCCTCCAACACACAATAGCATTCTCAGATTCAAAGGTAGGGCAAGAGTCAGTTGTGGTACCATGATGAGAAGATAAGAAGTCACCATGCAGCAAACTCATACCCCTTGAGAGGGAAGTATTATGCTTTAGAAGACAATTAATTTTAAGAAAAAATCAAGAGAGAGGAAGACCCACTACTACTGAACCTTCCCAGTACAAGTCTGAGTTCTCAGGAGCTGTTTGGTCGCCCTGGTGATGGTCCATGTATCCTTTGTGGTCAGTCCAGTCGAGCTCTGGTCTCTATCCTTTCACACCACACCCCTTCCTCCTTTGGTAGCTTGACTCCAGATCTTGGTGGCCCTGTCCTTCAGTCCCTCCTCACAAAATGGTTTTTACTTCTGTGGATTTAATAAAAACTTCACCGAGTCGTTCATGCCTCAGCTGTTTGGGGACTATATTCCCGAGGATTTAGGCTCTCACTCCCTGCATTAGTCACCATATCAAAGACTTCACTTCCCAGGGAAGGATTTGTACACTACCTAGTGAGACTCTGGTTGAGGTCTCAAGTGTACCATCTGCCTCCCAGTGGCCACATAGATAGGAGCTATCAGCTTGCACTAAAAAGATGGGTTGTGCCGGGTGTTGGTGGCGCACGCCTTTAATCCCAGCACTCAGGAGGCAGAGGCAAGCGGATCTGTGATTTTGAGTTCAAAGCTCCACAGAGAGACTCTTGGCTCAAAAAACCAAAAAAAAAAAAAAGGTTGTGTGCTGAGTTGAGATTCTAGAGTTTCTCTATTGGTCTCCCCTCCCCCCACAATACAGGGTCTGGCTTTCCTGGGACTCTGTAAAACCATGCTGTCCTTGAACTCAGATCTGCCTGCCTGTTGAGAGTTGGGATTAAAAGTTTGTACCATCAACACCTGGCAAGGATTTGTTCCTTCTTGCTTAGGATCCTGACACCAGTTTGTTTTTGACCTATGACTTCCCTGTACCTAATTGGTTCTCAGAACCCTTTGTATTAAGCAAGGACTTGATCAGCCTTGCTTATTTTTCCAAACTCCAACCCTGGAGTCTGGGAAATCTTGTCAATTTATTATATAGGGGAAAATCTCACAGCCTTGGGAAATCATGTCTGGATTTCTTTATTCAGAGGGGACAGAGTGAGGCATAGAGTCCATTCTTTGGAGGAGAGTTGTTCAGTCCCTGCGAAGGTTCTTGAGCCTCTCTTCCAGGTCTGCATCAGCATCAGCCAAGGCTGAGGCTGTGGCCTCTGCTTTCTTCCCCCCAGCAGCCACACTGAGTGAACCACCAGTGGAGGGGAGGTCTGCAGAGAGAACCGAGGGTTAAGGGCTGTGGCTGAGCTGGGCAAAGATGGGGAAAAAATGGGTTTGGAACACTCACTTGATAGCTCATCTGTGAGGCTCAGTCCCAGCTCATCCAGGACCTGGGACACAACAGCATCACTAGGAAGGAAGGAAGGACAGTGTGTGAGGGAGGTCTGAGTGGGTAAGGGACCTGGGAATGTCCCTGCCTGCCTGCCTACTGCCACACCTCTCCTCCTCATCTTCCTCGTCGCCCATGGCATCGTCGATG